TTTGTAGTGTCTGAAATACAGTGTTCGTTTTCGACGGATTCGCTGAGGGTGGGTAAAGCACTCTTGGGTGTCAAAGACGTGATATCCGCCCGGCTAAAGAAGCCCGACGGGTTCAAGGGGCACCCACTGTTCGCCGACGATCGCTCCGTCGATCCGTTGATCGATCCGGTCTGYCAGATACGACCCGACTTATCGGATGTGTCCTTGCTGACATACAACCTGTTGGTCACCGACTTCACGCGGTGTGGCGTGCTCAGRCGAAACGTAAGTTATATGCATTTTCATACATAGTTATAATGTTATAACTTAAACATAAATTTTATACTTATGAATAATATTATTATTTTACTATCGACCATTATACAGTTTGGACCACCGTGTTTTCCGTGAAAAAAATGGAAAATACAGTGGCCCATAAATCGTATATTGAATTATGATCTATCAGATCATTAAATTAGGTGGATAATCGAAATAACTTGAATATTTTATGATCTATACCTTTTTAGKGAAAAATAATGACCCTTCGAGTGGATGGTTATTACCGTTAGTGCTCCAGGTGGATGATATTTTTTTAGGACATTGTATTTACGTGGTTTTCCGTGTTCAAAACTACGAAAAAGATTGACAACAAGTTAAATACCTCAGAAATAAATTCCTACTTAAAATTACTACCAATTATCAAATAATTATAGACATTTTAGGGAAAAAATGAAAAATTATTCATAAAATATTGCAAAGTTTGATGATATGCAAATAATAGTGGTATACTGGTATTATTATACCGTTATTACGACATTAATAAAAATGGATAGGTACATTCAATTAATTATGCATGTACTTTTACATAATATCATTAATTATTATATTATTAATTACTTCATTAGTATATACTATAATATATGTTCTTACTATTATTTTTTAACACGTTAAATACAAWTTTTTTAAACTTAAATTCTTCTGTGAAAAWACCAGGTGATTATTTAAAGCATTATTTAAGTTAATGAAAATATTAATTTCATTTTAGTAAGCAGAATAGTTTTTGAAGTAGGTACATTGATGTATAAAAATCGAGTTGTAACTGATAAGTATGTCAAGTATTATTAATGAGTATAGAGTGAAGTGAAACAGGGGTACCTCGCAATATGTCWGTCAACTCTAGGYGGAAAATAACTCATTAAACTAAACTAAGTACTTATCTCTAATTAACTACTCATCTGAATTTTGATTTTTATATATWTTTTTTGTAGACTATCTATACCTRCTGYCGTCGTTTTAATATTATGTTTGCCATAATCGTGTTTTTCAGGGCTTCGTGCACGTCCGAGTGTGGTTTCCGCAGTTCCCCGGCGTCGTCATGATGTCCGACCAAGAGCTGATCATAATGTGCAAACCACCAGAACCAACGGTGATCGAGAACAAAGCCGCCGGATTCGCCGGAAGTTTGTAAGTCTACATAATGTGTTATACATTCTATTATATTAAATTATTACAATTTACTGGTAAGTTAGAAATATAGCTGATGGTATAGGTTTTGTCTGCCACGCGTGCGAGAAGCGGCCATGCGGTTATTCGCAATAATCGTGAGACGTGGTATGCGATTTTTTTTTTTTAAATACCGCACACGCGTCAACCCATCACATATTTTTATGAAATCATAATTTATTATTCTCACACAAGGTAGTGTGTTTGACGACTTTATCTAATTGCTCGGATGTAAAAAAAAAATACGAATTTCGCTATAGAATACGGTTTAAACAGGTGTGAAAAACACACACGAGTGCGCGGTGTATCGCATGGAGAGGAAAAAACGATAACCGAAAATTTGATATTGAAACACACTGTTGAAGAATATCGGATGAGCGTACCTAAGAGAAATGAAATAGATTCGTTGAAAAACTCTGCACAGGTGTACTATTTACGCTGATGYGTTTACGCTGCTACCGACCCATTTATTATATTATGTGGGTATACCTGTGGGTATATAGCATAATACGAGAATACGACCACATTCGATCTATATTCTTATTATTATATAATGTCATCAAATTTATAACAGATCTGCGAATGCACGTTCAAGTCATTATAATAATATATAATATAATGAAGGTGTGCACATACAGGCGCGTTATTTCAGTACTTTAATTTTTGGTGCCAAAATRTTTGAAGGCTATTTTGAAATCATATAAATTGCAACTATAATAATATAAGAATGCAGCTTATTGTAGATTAAAAAGTACATACAATATTTTTTCTTTTTACTTTTTACATATTTTGATGAGTTATATATTATATTATTATCACGATTCAACGATAATGATTTTAATGATACATTTTCTCTTGGTAATTTACTCGCAGTGGCTAGATTTGCATAGAAATTTAAAAAGCTTAAAATAATATATATAAGAATTACTGATTCAATATTAGATTTAAATCAYATTTTGAGGCTTTAATTTTATTTTTATTCAAATAAAGAATTTTACAAAAATATAAGTRTAATTCATACAATGAATACCCTTAAAAGACGCATTTGATGTAAACACAAACGCCGAATAGACGGTACACAGATGTTCATCTTTTTCATTAGACATGTCACCAACGACATATGCAGTAGATACTTAGTTCAGAAATTTAAAATATTTTGATTAATTTTGATATCTATACACGGAGATGCAAACTGAAATGTATATAGTCACAAGGTGCATAACTTATCAAGCATGTCAAACCCAAATTACGATTATTTCCTTTATTTAAATAATTATTGAATTTTGAATTTTTGGAAATTTAAGTAAACCACTCAAGCCTCAAGGACCATATTTTTAATTACCTATTTAGTTTTTTTTTTTATAAATCATATGAGAAGTTTTGTGTGATGGTACAATGTTCTTTTTTCAAACGACAATCGTTTGTTTTGTAAATTATTGTTAAGCAGACAATTTTGATGTRCCTACCTAAATCAACATTTTAATAAGTAGCTTTTGAGTTATCAAAGTAATGATAATAGTCCATTGAAATAGTTTTACAAAAATTATAAAATAGACGTAATATTTCCTGTAGGTTATCTAGTAAATAAATATTATAGGCACTCGGATAATTTTTATATAATATACAGTATTGATGGATAAACTAATTGGTAGGCCTYTGGCAGGCGCCCACCTTTCCAGGCCCTCGGTCCAGCCCTGATCATTGACCCCATATATTTAAAACCTATTACCATGGATTTTAACATTAAGTAAAATACTCAAAAACTACTGGCTTAAAATTACAATTTATTTAAACCTTTTTTGMAATTTTCAAAAAAATAATTTGTTGGACTATTTATATGAATAAGGCTGATTTTTAATCGAAAATAATAAATACGTTTTGCCACAGGAAGGTTAGGTTAGGTTAGGTAATAATATAATCTCATGTTATTATCATAAAAGTGGTGAGACAGAGAAAGGATCGGCGACGGGAATAGGCGATCGTTTGAAACGAAAAAGATTTWAAAAAAAAATTGAACGAACATTGTAGAAACGATTTGGTGTAACGGTGTAGTCGAACAGTMGGTCTCGTTGTAATGTGTAATACGGGCGCTGTGTTTATATATTATTATATTTTACGGTACGATACGTGTATTACACCTTATGCGCGTATTCCGCATAGGAACATGTACATRCACGCTGACCGATATCAATAGTTCGGTTATTGTGTCTCGGTCGTTACGTTTTTCTTTTATTATTATTATTATTAAATAATAATAATACTAGTACTGTTGTCGGGACGTATGTAGAGTAAGTCTGTCGGTATATTATATTCTTTACTCTATGGTTGGTACACACCGTGACGACGATTGTGTGTGTGTGTGTATATTTGTTGTGTACCTATATAATATTATGTACAACAACAGAGATACTTATGAATAACGATATACCTACTCATGATGGCGATGGCGACGGTCGATGATGACGATGATAATAATAATAACGACGAGACGGTGCCGACGACTATAAAGTATAAGTACATTAAATGACTTTATAACAACGTAGTATCCTATATACGACTGTTGCTGCAGCCATTAATCAAATTAAATTTCGACGCTCAGCGACCATAACGATTTCGAGTTGTGGATCAAGATTGGTGTCAGCTGTGTGCTTGTGTTGGTATATTATTTTATGGACCAGTTTATCTCGACCATGATAATAATATGATATTGACATATTGTGCAGAAAAGATGCACTGCGTCCGACAACGTCAATAACGAATATCACTTAAAAAGCCGTCACAATTATTTGTCGGCCTTCGTTATTATAAACAATATTAAATATTTATTTATTAATAATTGTACATAGTACGCATTACATGTAATGAGTGATTACAAATAATGAAATAATACACCGTAAAAACTATTGTATACGATTTTCATTTAATAAGTGTTATTTTGTAAAGTTTAAAAAAAATTCCTAATGAAAAAAAGTAAACTATTGGATTTAACAACAATAAATATAATTCATGTTAAATTAGGTGCTTGATGTGAGTTTTATTTAGGTACTATCAGTACGATAATAGTCACGTAAATTAGATATAAAACAAAAACCGGGGTAACGTTTAATATTGACAATTTTGCAACGTTAGGTGTCATTATTTTAACTCCTTCAAAGAGTTGAATTATATAAATGTCAACTGTTTGTGCAAAAAAATTATTCACTTATTATTAAAAAAAAAAAAAGAAAAGATTAACAAAAGAATTATAAAGACATGCGTTTATGATAAAGTTATAAAAATATCTAGAAAATGATTTTTATAGTAACTATTAAGAGAAATATATTGAAGTCTTAGTGATTATCTTTATTTTGTTCTTATACAATATTACTGATTGCTTGTTATTTTTTCATTACTTTTTTTTGTACAATTACAATTATAGGTACATTTTAACAACCTCAAAAACGTACAGCGTGATTGCATTAAACGTACGTCGACTAAAATTGTTTTCAGAAAAATGTACAACAAACGAGATGGCCAATAAAATGTTTATTTTTGTAAGACAATACGTAACTAAGCATATTATATTTATATATATGTATATTGTATATAATATGAATGTATGTCTCTGTGTCCTTTATACATTCTTACACTATTCATCCGGTAGTCATGAAACTTTGGGAAATGCTTGAGACCACATGCCAATACTATTATATAAACGGAGTTTATATATATGTATATGTGGGCATCATATACATCCCCTCTATCATCAATACAATACAGATTATATACAAGTTTTTCTGTGAGATATCTATAGACATTTCGGTGGAATAAGCGAAAAGAAAACAATCATTATTATTTGTATTATTATCAATCATTATTCATTATTATTCGTGTGTCCTATATAATATGCGATACATGTGTAATCGCGCGCGCGCGCGCGCGTGTGTKTACTTAAAGAAGAAGATATTTAAATAAACAATATGGCCGAGACGAACGTGATCGCGAAAAAAAAAAAACTAAAACCTAAATTCACATTTTCACGGTACTGCGCTCGCTTCCTCCTCAGTGGACATCTTTATTGCGCCCGGTCGTTTCGCCTACTGACCCAATTGCCACACACCTATGAAAGATGACACACTAAAACGCGACGAAGCGAAATATTATAATATATAGTGCAATGTGTGTGAGTGAACATTTTTCTATTATTCGATTGCCGATTGGCTTCAGGGCACAATAAATGTTTTGACTCATGTAATACGCGTTCTACAYGGTACCGTAAAATTATACCGACGTGGGCAAATGTCAATATGATTCTATGATATATTACATGATTTAATATTGTAGTGCTRAAAACTATATAATATGCCTAAATATATTATATAACAGTGGTTTTAAACCACGAGGTTACCACCATATATGCATATATGCCAATAAATATTTTAGGGTACACGCTCAAAATTATAAAGATAATAGTATTAGTGATTATAGTCACTTATGCAGTTATGCGAATAATACCTTTATAATTTATAATTGACCTACCTTAACTACACGATTAAGATTGTAAGTGCGATCCAATGTATTATATTGTGTGACTTAACGGATTGTTCGTTTTGCGCACAGCCCACACGGTGCACGAGTGTCTGGAGTCGTGGAAGAGACGCCTGGGAGACTCGAGTACGAGGTAGCATTATACAAGGAAGCGCCGGCTCGATTGACGAACTTGAGCCATAACAGYGAACTGCCAGTCGACCAGGCCGTGCCCATCGGTACCAAACTTCAGCTTCGGGCCAGGATCAACCCACATTCAGGTATATATAAATATTTTTGTTTAATATAGTATAGGTTTTAAGTTGTGTATATACAATGCGCAGAGTGATTTATTTGTCAGCGGACGTTAGGAAAATTTAGAAGACTGCGATTCTTACGTTTTGTGACGAATTAAACAATTTAGGTAATGTTTAATTAGAAGCATGGGGGGGGAGGGTGGGCAGCGGCCCCTCCTGCGGCATCAGGCATTCCTTTAATAAATACTAAAACTATGCTGTTTCAGTTTCAAATTATCATTATTATAATTATGTATTTTAATACCTTTATATTTTATTTGTATTAATTTTTATATTTGTATAGGTATTGGATTAAATAAATATTTTATAAAATTAACAATTAAATATTTAACTATACTAGCATTCATCATTAGTACAAGAATCTTTGAAAAATGTTTAAGGGCCCCCTCTGCGGTCAAAGTCTACGCACGCCTATGATTAGATTTAAACTTGATTAGGTATTGTGAACAGWCGTAATAGGATAACTTTTATTTATTTACTTGATATTTTATACCTATAGTTTTAATCAAAAAAAAAAAAAAAAATACTTAGACGACCAACTAATCAGAGTCAAAAGTCTTCTCTCACACAAAATATAATATTATTATATTATTATATGGGTTAGGTAATGGATTTTGAAGCATTTTTATCTTGATTGAATATCAGTATAGTCAGTATAGAGTCCATATAATTATGGTGAACACTAAAATATGACACATACAACTGTCATAATAGGCTATTATATCCAATGATTAAATATAATTAATAAAAACCCAATAAGTATGAAATTATATCTTGGCGCGCTCCGAATACGTCACATATGTTTATACTGTATATGGTTTTAGAATTATAATGACATTTAAAATAGCTATCTAAAATAATATACCACATWGAGGTAAATTAAGCCAAGATCACAGTTACGTCATCTGTAGGGCCATATCCAAAATATGAGCTCAGCTCAACTTTGGAATTTTTCTACSTATGGGTTTCGTACCTATGGTTAGTGAATGATATCATCTTATTCATACAATACCAACGATATCATAGGCTTAAAATATTTTACTTATATGTCCTTAGACTATAACCCACCTCTAAATTTTTTTTCGTTTTTACAAAACTCAGGCCCGCTCAGGCCGCTCCGAGTATGTGTCACATTTAATATCTTATGTAACAACGTCACCTCTACCCATTATGTCGTACGATATCAATAAAGCTATTTTTCATTTTGGAAAATCGTTACGATAACAATCACGGTGTAGGGTATGTCAACTAACTGGCTACYATGCGTGTCATCACTTTGCGATTTAATCTGCAAAATTATAGTGTTTACCAATTTTATCTACCATCAAACAATAAATCTTTATATTTTTTTTGTACTACATTTTGGCCGACGACATTGTACCAGATGATGACCTACAGCTAACCCAATAATTGAAATTAATATGTCACCACCATATCCGTGAATGTTATACAGGAAATTACCCCCCCCCCTCTAAAAAAAGAAATACAAATAAAAATATAAAGAAAAGAAAACGCCTGAAGATAATCCGTCAAATAGGCATATTAATTTTATTTATCGGACGATACGGCGGCCACTAACGCTGATCGAAAGTTACTTTTCCCGGTCAAATTAATTATGTTATTGTATAGAAAGTAAACGCATCGTGTACCTAATTCTGCATTTCGGTTAAAAACCATCTCTGATGAGTGTAATAACAATAAATTCAGTTTAAATATTGATCTCTTGACAACTAATCGGAACAAATAGCGCGTATACGGTTCCAGAAGAAAATTGCTCATAAAATACGACATGCACTTAACATTGATACGTAATAAAAAAAATGGTTATTTAAGTAGGTAGTAAAAACGTTTTATTCCTAAAAGATTAATTTTTTTATTTAAATTTTTATTTCACTATTCAAAAGTGTACTTATATAATTTGTTCACCATTAGGTATGTTTGTTATTAAAACTGTGTTATCAACTTGATATTTAAATGACAAGTCAGATTTTTAATTTCATAAGCTTATTGCAGATTGTCTAAAGTAAAAAATAAAATTTAATATTCATAAACGAGCATAAGAATAAATTAATAAGGGTGATATAAATATTCACAGAGTCACATTTAGACCATTTAGTTGACAACAATTGTACAGTAGAAAAAAAAAATTATAATAAAAGTTGATAATTTTCGAAATAATAAAAGTTGCTTTCATTAAAAAAGTCCACCATGTGGAAAATATTATGTTTATTATTTCCTTGCACAGAAGGTAACCTTCCGCGGCAAATGCGCCGTAATTCCATTATCTCTCCTGTGATTATAACAATAATTGATCGACTAACCTTTGTTTTCCGTTTAGCTTGGAAGTTTGTCAAGTTGATGGAAGTGTCTGTGTCTCCAGATCCTGAYAACGCTCATGTATCTGGTAGTGTCGCTCTTGTAAAAGATGGGTAAGTGTTGAAGATAAAATTTTTTTAGAACTTAGTTAAATTGTGAATGAAATAAATGTATTTATAAAGCAAAAAATAAAAAGTATTCACAAAAAATCAGATTAACCAATTAGAGTGAATACAGATCAGTGAACTCATATTTTTATTAAATTAGTGACGAAAAAAAATTTAAAAAGAAAAGTCGATAATTTACTTTAAAATAGATAAAAATTAATAAATACTCGACAAATAATACTTTGAAAGCCGAATTACGATTAATAAAAACTTTTATACTTGATAATAAAAACAAAAAAAATATCCKTAAATTTATAAAAGTTGACCAATGTTTGATATTCATAAAAACAATTGTAAATATTATGCCAAAAGCCTTAAAAAGTTTGCAAATTGCATATAAATAATATTAATTAAACTTCATATTTATTTGGATACATACGCAAAACTAATAATTGTTTGCTAATTTTGATATCTTTTTGAATATATATATTGCTCTATAGTTCTAGTTGTTCTTCTACACTTGATACATTAAATATACTTACGGACTGCTTATTTTGGTAGATACTAAATAGTAGTYWAATAAATATTTTACTACTACTTTTTTAATGAATATTTCAAAAATTGTATCGACTCTGCCAGCCCTACATATTTTATTACCTGTCAATTTATATTTTTTAACGAAAAAGGAATATTTTATACTTTGTATACTTCGATACGCCAATAATCTTTCACTCCACATTCGTAACAATGTGACCTTAGTCCTCTTTATCACCACTGACTACAAAATCGTTGGAAGTAATAATTAGGTATTTTATTTTTATTTACAATGACGTCACATTATATTATGTTGYACGCAGTAGCGGTACACATTTTACACTAGGTAGTGAAATAATAATGACGRTAATTTTCGACGTTTTTACTAATATTTTAATAACTAGAACACGGGACGTATTATAATAATATTAATAATGGGCTTATATTCTATGGTCTACAGCGTTTTCCAAACAGAGATTATTAATTCGGTGCGGTGGACCATCGTTGTCGGTGTCAGTTTTTAACATCAACAAAAAAAAAAAAATGTATTAAAGCGAAATAGTTACTGTAACTCTAAACACAAATAACTTTTGGCAGAAGTTTTATAAATTACKATCTACGTTTCTAGACCAATGGCGCCTCTTTTCCACCAGGGTTAAGGCTCGCCGTTATAAAATGAATATACAATAACACAATTGCCATTATTTTGGGGCGAATAATGAATAAAAGGCGAGATAAAAGAATAGAGATAAAAACCACCATATACAAACATACATTTAAAACTATATATTATACACTACAATTATTGTAGTACAATATAATGTAGGATATTTTCTATGCCATTAAATAATAATTGTTCTGTATAGCGATACTAACGTTTTTTTTTTCATATAAGATCACCAAATTTTACAATGTTATATTATATGGTTGAGTAGATGATATTATATATATTTTAATATTTAAAATTTTAGTCGAAATTTGAATGAAAAGTTATGAGGCATTTAACTATGTGTACTATAAACAAATTATCTGCATAACAATGACTTAAAAAAGCTTAAATCTGTATATTACAGTAAATAGGACAGTATTTAAATGATTAAAAATTAAGAATTTTTAAACATAGTCCTTTATACTAAAACAATCAAAAAATTATAATTTAAATAAAAACACTATTGAATGAAAAAATCGTGCTTGGAAAATATGTTAGTCTTTCGCATTAGTGTTTATAATATATTTTATTAAAATAATATATTTTAGAAAATTATTACATACCTTATTTGAAAACCACAATTTTATTATAATTACCACGTTGTGTTCCTTATTTTTGGATATAATATATTACACGTTTTACATTCTTCTATCGGCTTTAAATTGCATACATACGTCGTTATTAGCGGGTCACACGACACCATTATTCTATTTCAAATTGGATTTTGACTTGTTGGTTTATCATTATGATGGTATACCATCATAATATTATGCTTATACTAAAAACTAATGATTTAATAAATTTCATAATAAAATAAGATTATATTACTACCAACGTAAAACGGTGTTAAGCAAAACACGTTGAAACTTCCACTTGACCAAATACATTTTGAGAACCATTACATAATATTAAATAAATGAAATTCAATTTTTTAATTCGGGTGACCTTTTTTTTCGCTGTTCACGGGGCCACGAGTTTTCGCATACCTGGTATTTTCATTTGATAAAATTATTGATTTTCTAGAAACGTTTATAATGTTACGTTAATAAACCACACACGGGGAATCGGGACAAAATATTAAAATACTATTATGAAGGGGACATATTATTATTAGACGCACATAAAATTGCTAGTGACACAGTGATAGGTGTATTAGCGTGGAACCTATATTATACTTTATAAACCTACCTATCTATACGACCGATAGTGAATATAGTATCAATATTCTATAAGATGGCGGTGATGGAATTATTTTTCATTATAACCGTCAACAATGTTCAGGTTTTGACTTTTTGTTATTTTTAATATGTTTATAGATGCCGGAACCGAGATTTCGCGACAATCATCCCGCACCAGCCGGCCAAGTACAGGGAAAGGCACAACGAAGTGTTTTTGGACTTTGAGGCATTCCTGTTGAGCACCATGAAAGAGCGATCGACGTTATGGATTCACTCGCAGATTAAAGCGTGTATGGACGCCAACGATTGCCAGCCGGTAAGACACCCAACCCTATCCTATGMACTTTATAGCTTTTCAACTGCCGACGCAAAATTTAAAACCCCTATTCATACCATGCCAATGTTTGCTGCAGATTTCCTATGTTTTTAACGTGACATCGCGTCCGAATTCGTTTTGATAATTATATGTTATAGAATAACCAAGTTGAGCCTCACCATCTTAAGTTTTATAATCGATTAACATGTTTAGAGACTGAGAATATGAAGGATAAATATTTTTAAAAATCAAATTGAAAAATCTAAGGTAAAAACTCACAAAGTTTGAATTTTATTATACCTATTCGTTTTAAATTATTATTATTACCAACTTAATAGCGATTGTATTTTACCCACGTTTTTAATTTAATAATATACTTATGTAATTACAATTTATTTTTCTACAAGCGAAAAATACGAATAATAATCATAGGTTATCTCCACTAATAATATACTATTATCGTATTACAATGTCCAGTTTAACGCTCACACATGGGACTGAATATCATACAGTAAACATAATATGAATATATAATATTACATTGTATTATTTGTATTACCTATGTTACTATATTTATACGTCTCAGTGAAGTGGTTGAAGCTGCTCGGAAATCGCATTTTAATATTATGGTGCGTTGTTTATTATTACATGTCATTATATACTGCCTTCTACATGTGTGCGACAGCAAGAGATTAGTAATTCAATGGTACTTCCTCCTTCTGCTATGTTATAATTATTATTGTTAAAGTGCTTGTGGCACGGATGAGACTTATGTACACGGCTGTCTCTGACGAGGTCTGCGTGTATATTAATTTTCTTCTACGAATTCCAAATCCGTCTGATGTGCGTGTCTACGGTTTTTTACGATCTATTCGAGACGACCGTTGCCGGTGTCAACATTTCGCACGGACAGTGACGTTTGTCCGGTTGTAATGTACGCATGTACGTGTACCTAAAATAATAATATTGTAATGTGTGTATATGCACATCGCGATCGTCGTAAATTACACAGTTGCCACTCGGTTTGCGACACCACTCGCCTCGTCTCGTGTCAATAGCGTTCGTCGAGTGGCCACACGCTGGGCGGCTGCTTCGCTTCTGTGTTTGGCATTCGGACATAATAATAATAATATTATATTGAAAAACCGTTAAATTTGAACGACCGACACGATTTCGGAATGCGGTGGAATCTAGGGTGAGAGTAGACGACGTTGATTTTAGTGATGTATACTCATATCTGAGGATATAATTATGTCCATTCAAAAATACTTAAATTTTAACAATACTAATAAGTAAATAAATAATACACTATAACTGTAATATGTATAATTTTATATACTTTCGTAGATCGTTTTATATGTGTTAAACAAAGTGAATTTATTTTTGTTGATATTTTGCTTTTTGAGTTTAAATTAATTGTTGAATTACAATATTATTGTATGAATAAAAATCATAAATTCTAACGAGGAACCTATTGTAGTAATTAGGGTTCAGAATCAGAAGTTATAGGAGCCAAAAAAAGCAAAGCAAAATATGCATACAAATATTATGCATGAAAAAATGTGAAATATGCAAAAAGAATATTTATTTATTTATTAAAAGTGTATTACTTGTTTATTAATATACACGAAAAAAATCTAAAAACTTATATTTAAAAAAACTGTATTAATGAAAACTAAAATATGGCGCGTAACCAATTGGTATTTGAGATTTTATTTAACTGAAAAATAGTTAAACAAATATATTTTYATTATTTTTGATRTACGAAATACAAATTTGAAATTTTTTATATTTTTTAGAAAATATTAAATATGCATACAAATATACGAAAATCGATTAAAATCAACGAAATATGCAAAATATACATTTTTAATTTTCAACATTTAAGCTCAACATTGTATAACTTGGTCTGCTATAATTCGAGAGTATTACAGAACAATAAGGAACTCCTATAACTTCCGAACCCTACCAATAATAATACTACACAGAGGGGAGTTTTTTTATTTGAAATAGATTGTTATTTTCTTCTTGTAGTCATATCATTTTTTTTATTTTATTTATGTTTTTTTTTTATTCGATTCGTTATAATATTGTTGTTAAATATTCGTATAGTACATGCTAATACATAATGTATAAAAACAATAAGACTTACTTGGTTTTATACGGCTTTTAAATTATTGGGATAAGCTTATATGATACACGACAACAATTATTTTAGTCGAAATATTTTAAATATTAATCAGCTTCGAAACAGAATTTTTGTTAGAACTATATCAACACAATTAAAAATCATTTTTTTCTTCAAAAAACAAAAAAAAATTCGTTTAATTTAATAATAATGGTTTTATATTTCTTGCGTATATCGATTACAAACGATTATATTTATAAAATATTATGAAAGCAGTTTCTAACGGTAATGTTTTTACAAAGTATTATATTGTTATAAATTCTCAACACTTTGCCCTTCAATAACTAATAAGATTGAGTTTTTGGGTGGCGTTTTAAGAGTTCAACGTTTTTTGTATAAAAGCAAGTATGGGACCCTCAATTCATGACGTAGCCAGAGAAACTATATAGACAGTATATTATATTTCGGAATACGCATTTTTATACGTTTAATTTTGTCGGTGCTTCTGGTTTAACAATATTTTGGGTATTCGGCACCCTAGTCATAATAATACTAGATTTTATTGATAAAAAATTCCAACTATAACCGCGATCGTGATTTTCAGGAATACTGTCTGGACTTGTTCGAGCCATCCGGACACGGGCGCAGGCGCAGGAGGCATGTGCCTGGCACCGGGAATGGGACCGCGTTACAGCAGCAGCAGACGTCAGCTGTCGATGACCGAAACGCGACTAACTTCGCCAAGTTTAAGGAGAACATCGAGTATACAGTCATCATGCCCGAGGACAWCTACCACGGTGCTGCAACCGCGTCCGAAAACAACTGCGGGACGTTCCTGGCCCTGTCTGGGGTCCTGGGATGTCTCCTGTTCGTCGCCGCCATGATCCTGTGCTACCTGACGTCCCGGCTGCAGGCGGCCATCGGGTCCAAGTACAGGACGGCGCAACAGGACGTGTTCGGCAGCGGTAGGCTCCACACCGGCACCGGTCAGCCGTCTAAGTTTCCTGTGTCGTTTTCATCCGGTTCGTCGGCGTACTCGGGACGGCTKCACTGACGTCCTCCGTCCGGCCAGATAGATTCGATTATTATTATTWTTTTTTCAAATCTTTGTAAATAGTTGTTTTTCCTCACCATTATATGATGGAACTTCTTACACATGTTATAGGCGCTTGATTCACGATTCAATTCGTACACGATCGCTTTAAATTTATTATTATTATTTTTTTTTACTGCWGGAATTCGACTATTTTAGTGGTACGACATGGTTACAGGACGATTTCAACAGCAAACATTCACACATTTTCTAGGTAGGAAAGTAYATAGATTTGTGTTTTTCTGAAAAAGAGAATCAAATAATGTTTACGATTTGCTATGATGGTGGACTATCAATATTATTTTTTCATTGAAAATCTATATTTTAAATTTTATATAAAAATATCGAAAAATGATAATATTAAATAATAAGCTTTTAGATGTGAGATGCATGTCGAATTTCGTTGTTATCTTTAAGACTTGAGAGTACCACGTAAAAACCGTTTTGTTGAGGGAAATAAAAYGAAAATTAATAGAGATAATGAGTGTTTGTTGATGAAATCACSCTGTTTGCATATGTTACGTATGCATATAAGTCATAATTCGGTMCTACAGGAAATCGTCGGTCGAGGGCTTCAAAAACGTATACGACCTTGACCCGCTCTACTGAAGATTTTTCAACTCTTCAATATCATAAACGCACCATCAGCTCATCAGCATCTTCCCACCTAAATCCAATCATCGTGATGAAGTCACCCCGACGGTGGTTCGAAACCGTCAATATTATTTTGTTGGTCCTTACGCATAGTTACCTAGGATTGACTATGATTTTTTTCTACTCTCTTACAAGACACCTTGGTGATACATTATACACCCTCATTTAACGTCCACACATAATATTATATCGAATAAAACGCAATACGTTCCAAATTATATAAAAACAACTACGACGAGTTGAATTGAATCGTGATTTAAACGATACTATTGCGTGCACGTTGGCCGRCCGACCGCACAGTATGATAATATAATAATTAGATAAAATAGATTTTAATACAACATAGACATAGGACAGAGATGTTGTTGAAGCCGCTGTTCAGCGTTATGTTTAGTCTTGGTCAAAAAAATATGATTTGATTAATAAATAAAAATCAATTGTAATGTTATTATTATAACAATTATTGTAATGCCCAATGACGACATATTATAATATTATATATTATTCAAGTTATCGTCTGAACGCATATCATCACTCCTCTATTATTCTTATAATTACACGTAAGTGCATCTTAAAAATTATTACATTTATTAATACGTCATCTTATATAGAATAGTAAAATGTAATAATATTATTGATACGTGTTCATTTTACGCATTTGTATTTTTTTTTTTTTTAATATTATTATTATTTTGTACTTGGACACATGATATAATTGAACATTGTATTATAAGCCTTGTAGGCAATTTCATGAGCATTATTTTCCGTATTAAGAGGATAGAATTATTTTTTTATTATTTGATATTTGATAGATATACCTAATAGTATATAGCGTATATTTAAAACATTATYAATGTAGACATATTTTGTATTATTTCCATTTACTATTAGAATAAAGTAATATGTTTAGTTTTGATTTTCCGTGTTTTTGGAACATTTTGTATCATTTGAAAATATAAAATTTTTGATATTTTGATAAGGTATTATTGTTATATAGTATAAACTTACGTSATTCGTACTCACACCCATACATGTATCAACATTGTACGGCTATTTTTAGGGATTAATTTTTGTCTACTTTTTGACGGTCGAATCACTGAAAGTTAATTTCGCCCAACTACTGTGTACAGGATCATGCACCGCCATTGATGTTTACCGTAAACACACACTAATAAGTAATAATGACGTCATAAGAGCCTAATAATTTGTTAACTGTTAAAMTTTTACAGTCACGTGAGCATTATTTTCTTAGCGTCATTTCGTCTGTAAATTGGTATATCGACAGATCACCAAAATTATGCTGTCCTGAATAAATAATATATACCTATTATTATTATTTGAGACGTCTAGTTCTGAATTATTGCAACAGGAAAAACTGACAAAATTATAGGTACGCAAATAATAATTAATATATCATGTATCACGGCGTCAGGCTTCAGGCACATACGTATTCTGAGTAGGTACCAGCTAGTACCCATCGGTGCCACTAGGTCCGGGATGGGTGTCCGGAGATCACCTGATTTCTTAGTTATTATTCTTTTCAGTCACACTAACACGTGTTCTGAACCAACCAGCCCTCTACATCATTAGCCATAATGATCATAATCGATGGGGTCATGAACGATTTAAAAAAAAAAAAAAAAATATGCAATCGGAAAATAAAATGTGATTAAGAATATCGGTTATTAGAAAATAATATGCACCACTTAGCATTAGTAAGTTATAAGTAAGGTATCTCTGTTGCAATCTGCATAAATTAATACGACGGATTCATGTCATAATTTATTAGTAATATATTATTATTCTAAACGGATTTGTGCAGAAAATAATACTTCGGTCGATCCGGATATAAATAATAATATAATATACTTACCTATTACAGTAAAATATTGCAAAAGTTTTCAAGAACCATTTTTTAAATATTTAAAAATACTTCAACATTTTTCGAAAACTAAACTTTATCAGGGCAGGGTTGAAGTAAGCATTCGATATATCATATAATAATGTATTACTTTTTCGATTAAAAAGAAAGGTTAGTAAAATATGACGTGCATCAAAATTGATAAAATAGAAAATTGTGTAGATCTAATATAGTAATTTATTGTTAAATCATATAGTTTAAACATTAAATATATATTAATATTAGGTGTGTTAAAAAATCAATGTACAAATTTCACGCAAAACTTTATATTGTTTTACCTGGTTTTGTTGAATTTATGAAAAGAGTTTCACATGGAAATAAATGTATTAATATTCATAAATAATATTTAGAACGTTCGGGACAGTATTTCATAGAAGTTAAATTTTTATGGTATATCTTATCATGTACGCAATATTATTTTTATAATATTGTAGCTGAGGTAATCGTAATATTAAAATTGGTCGTCATATATTTTAGGTCTGTAAACACTTACAGCATGTTTTATAATTACCAAAATACAGCTTACAGTAGTATTGTATTTTGTTGTGTATAATATTATTACAGTTATAATAATAATGATAATGATAATAATAATATTATTATTAAATATATCGATAATATTATATTATTATTAAAGAAATCAAAATATAATATGTGTATTATAGTTTGTAATATAATAATAATAACACGACAAGAGAAAATAAATTGAACATTAATATTTTGCAAGTTTATAGGCGATAGATAGTAGACCTACTGTTTAAGTATATAATAATAATAGTATTCAAAAAAATATTATGATGATCTTGTAAACATCGTGTACTCGGCACGATCAAAACCAATATAGATTGTCTTTTAGTACTAGTTGAAATGTTAAACGTGTCAACTAAAATATAATAATATTGTTTTTATTTATTTATGTTATATATTATTTAGGTTATTCGGATCGAGTTTAAATATTATAGTAAATAGGTATAATTATTGTATGAAYATTATACGCATTACGAATAGAACCATTGTAGCTTCGTTAACTTGATTTGAATTGCTAATCATCGTACTAGTATTTATAAGAAATTTTTTTCTCAAAAATTATCGAAATCACTGAGTTATGAAGATTCTAAACTGTGGACGTGTACTATGATGATAACATATTATAGTATAGCAGGCAATAATGAGAGCAATGGCTGCAAGCTGTGGCTTCGAGATCAACGTCGAAATTCGTGTGCAAACATAYAATAATAATATTGTCACGTAGTTTTATATCCGCACGTCATAATTTTTTATACAACAATAAAATCGTTATGTACAATGAAGGTAGTGAACGAAATATACATTAAATTCGTGAAATTTTTTGTTAAAACTTTAAAATAGTTTTCTTCATCGCCACGTTCGTTATACTAATCATAATTATAATATATATTATTTTATAATATTTAAAAAATAGTGTTATGTTCTCGTCGTACTTCRACCACGATGCAAAAGAAGATGTGGCACTCGTCGATGTTGACGATGGCGATCAAGACTCGGGCGATTCGCCGAGGCCCGAGACGCAACACCCTGTAAGCGCTGTCACTGTAAGACACTGCGGGCCTCATGAGTTGGTGGTGCGGACCCTCTGCTTTTTAACAAAGTCCTGCGCAACCTTATCTTCGTGCCTGGCTTCCAAGGTGAGAAGAATTGGATGACCTACATGGGGAGCAACACACGACAAATATGGTAAATCAGACAAGTATTATAAAATGTTATAAATAGTGTTAGGTTAGGTTATTGTCTTTAAGTAAATTTAAATACCTACTCAAACAATCAAGTTTTTAATAATTGCATTACTAAAGAAACAATAGGAGATGAGCATGCTTGGTGTATCATTTTGTATACCTATAATTTATGAAGGCATTTACCATACTTAATATTAAGTACACTGCACTCTGTACACTCTGTAAGAAATTAAATTTAACAAATAACATTTGTATTACACTGGACTATTGAATTACACTGTAATCTCCGAAAAAGTTGTATGCAATTAAATCGACTTATTGGTTGTTGTCACATAAAGTTAAATTTCAGCCTGGTCTAATTTAAAACCACATTACCTGGTGTTATATATTATGGTTCAAAATAAAAATTATTTATACTACGGAATACCATATCTCTATTTTAACGAATTCGATTATTTTAGTCATAATGGGTATGAGAAAATGACTTAAGCAAACATGGATTACTTGAAACATATTTAACATTGTGTAAGRACATTCCAAAAAAATAAAAAAATAATTATGTAAAAGTATTGAAATCCGAGCTCTAACTTTTAATGTTACCAGAAATTTCTAATTCTTTCTTACATACCATACCGTACAAAACATKTGGTTTTTGTACAAAAAATTTTCCATAGTCTTGGTTCAGACAACGAAGTAATCACCACATATTTTTCAAAGCAATACAAATTCTCTAATTACTTTAAGTTTTTAAAACTAACAACTGTGATTATTTATTTTTATGTTGGTATTTTTTATATATATATTTATTTTTATTTTTACAGTATAATATTAAATATAATGATAATGGCCTTAGATGTCAAAGCAGAAATTATTAATAATTTCAAGATCAATAAAAAAAAAAAGTGTTCTCTGTATTTATATGGTTTTTTTTAAATTTAAAACTAAATATTAAATTTAAGTTTTTTACCATACTTTTTTTATTACATAAATAAATATATAATATTAAAAACAAAACAGTTTTCCAAGATCTAAAAAAAAAAWTATATTAAACTGAATAGTTTACATTGAACACAAACCACTGAACAAAGCAGTGTAGTATGTAATTTCGTTTAAATATATAAAAAATACATATATATATATATATAACTCTATGATGGGCACTCACTGGAAATTAACAATTTCAGCGTTACATTTTTTATATATATATGTATAGAAGTTAGTGTTCTGGTGCCTTAACAGACCTATTTGGATAAAAAGTAATCGACGTTGGGAAATCCGTTGGGTCTAAACATTTCACAGCATCGCGGATCGTTAGTGCAGACGTTTGACCTGTACGATTTCGTACCACAGGAGTAAACAAAATCTGTATATGAAAGGTTGACCTGAGTTTAATAATTCGCTCTCATTTTGAACACTAAATTGAGCAAAATATTAGCATCCCAGAATCATAGGTCATTTCCAGTCATCATTAGTGTCATCAGACCTTAGAAGGGAGTGGTGGACTGTCCTCTTTTTGAATGATCACAGAATGATAGAAAATTGTTTTATTATCTAGGGCCCATGGTATTAATTGTACATTTTACGATATCGTGACATTGACCACTATCGTCGTTCAATCATAAATTTATTATTGTGACTATATTGTAATAAAATAATATATATGTTACCGGAAATGTTGACATTTAGGAAATGATGACAATCCCTAGTAAATGTTGAAAATTCCTAAAATCGGAAGGAAATGATATCATCGCCATCATCATGTTATCATTTCCTAACGATAGTAGGCAAAGATGCCACTTTTTTAAATTTATATATTACTTTTATCAAAAACAATTATTAATTAATCTACTATCACCTTAATAAATAATCAATAAATAAACAAATATTTTTTTAACATTTTAATTTATGTAATTTAAGCTTTCTAAAATATTTTTATGATTTGCAACGTAGTTACTCATTTTTATTTAATAAATACTGCGCTATGCGATATCCATGACATTTTTCAATCAACCATTTTATCGATATCAGTCATTTCCCCACCTGATATTTTTAGATCTCGGAAAATATTGACAGTTGACACCAAACTTACTGTTTTATGCCAGGGACACACATGCRTATTTAAAATCGGTTATCGCAATCGACATAAACCCGTKTTTGATATAATTTCATGTCTCCGCACAGATATATAAAATAATTATTTAAGTTTATTTTATATACCCGTGTGTCTCCGTTTCTCAATTTATTTGAGTTCGACAGCATTATTAGTTCGATAGTGTCTACTATATATAGTGTAAAGGATTATAATATATAGGTAGTTTTATTTAATTAATTTATAATAATTATAATTTGTATCGAAACAATATTTATCAATTTTTACAGTAAAATATACATTTTTAATATAATTAAAAAAAAAAAAAAAATTAATAAATGTCATTTTATGAATTTTTTAAAATATATTTTTAGATCATCAAATTCCGGGTCCTAGTTATAACATTGCCTAATAAACTACGGAAATGATGACAATTCCTAGGCGATGATATCATTTCCTTACGATTTTAGGAATTGTCATCATTTCCTAAAATGTCAACATTTCCGGTAACATATATGATAAAATTTATATTATATATAGGTACATTCTCACATAATATTTATTTTTAATATATATATATATATATTGGGTTTTATAAAAAATATCTACCTAGCTATTATTCAAATGTAACATCGCTATATTAATATTTTATAAATGTAAAATTAACTAACGTTATTAAGCGGTGAACGTTTTTTTCAAATCTAATACTTCTATACGCATCTGTTATTCTCAAAAAATTTTAAAATTGACACCCACCCATTTTGGACAAGGAACTTTTGGCCATATAAGGTTTGTAATCTATAACGTTTGTGAATCCAACCTCTC